AAAAAGTGATATGATAGTGGGTTGTAAAAAAGATAGTACGCATGAATATAGATACTTTCGATTATGGAATTAGTTTTAATTATACTCGTATTGTTTTGAAAATTTTCTTTTGACCCTTAACTCTTAAAATCGTTATTAAACAACCATTTCACTGACTTTCCCATTAAAATGAAGACGTAAATAAAATTTTGCGGTTTAAAGGGGAAGCCACACATTATAGGAAAAATCACGAACCGGTAAAAACAGAAAACAACAGGTACATATTGATAAAGATTAAAGGAGTGTTGCAAGCTCTGCAAGAGGAATATGTTCGAAAGAGAAAAATTCTAACACAGTGTGATTAGTGAAAAGCATGGGTCGAAAGCTAGGATTAAAAAAAAAAAAATTGGTGGAAGAAGACTATTTTCATCCTCTATGATAAGAAATTTATCAAGTCATTCAAAGTTGGATTATCTTGGATTTCTTTGTTAATCCTAAGTGTGTCAATTGATTGTGGGAAGGGAGGCTCCATATTTTGCTCGCTGTCCATGGTTTGCTACCCTTAAAAAATTTTGCTTCCTCTAAATTCTTTTGATCATGGTTTGCTGGTCCACATTTAAAAATGACCAAGACCCTTCAATTTTCTTATAGCTCACCAAAATGTCAAAATTTTTTCATATTTATTTTAATGAAAAATCTAACTGAACGAAACAGTGGTTAACCCTTTTTTAAATTAAAGATTAAAATGAGACTGTGTAAACTATAGGAGCATAATGGAAACTTGAACCAAAATTTAGGGGTGTAATTGAAATCACCTATGTATCTGTATACATCTATTTTACAACTCTCTACCCAATTATTACATCGCTTATCAATTTTCGTTTTAATAGAAAATAAAACAATTTTAACATTTTAAAACTTTTAAAACAATACAATACGTTGATGGAATGAAAGAATGAAAATATATCCTAAAGAATATTTTAATTTATATAATTTAACCAAAATTATTTTGGATGGTAGAAATAATTTTGGCAATAGATGTCAAAAGAAAAATTAAAAATCCAATATTTCTGTTAGATCTGCATTTTGCTTGTTTTGTAGGGAGACATCTAAAGAGTTTTTATTGCCTTCTTACACTATGGAGTTTACAAGATTATAATGTTGGGTATTTTCAATTTGTTTTTTTCTTTAATTTTAACTTTTGTAATTCTATATTAAACTAATATCCATGTATATTTATATATGACATTTACCTATAGAATAAACTTCAAAGTGTAGCAATTCATATTAATCTTGAAAACTATGTATCTACAATATTTAATGAAAAATTGCGTGACAATTTACATTTCCATATTTGTCAATATAATAAACCATTGTGATTTTGCAAATATGACAATTTTTTTAAAAAATTTACTCGCCTATTTTTTTTTTCCATATATCGCTCATTTATGTCTATTAATCTAGCAGTAATAAACTCTATCACTAGTATAGTATATCAATTATATAGCGGATGAATCTATGGATATTTCAAGGTTATGTTAGTCTTATTTTTTTTCATGTACATTTATAAATCCAAAATATTGTTGTTAAATTTAAAATTAATTGGGTTTATTTTATCATTTATGCAAGTTTCTCATACTTTAATATACTATTTTCTAAAATTTAATTAAAATAAACTGTTAAATAGATAGAAATTATAATCCGGCCCAACGGCCATTTTGGGCCGCACGTATTTGCGTTGGGCTTTGAAGAGACCAATGCCTTAGTTGTAGAGGTCTTCATTTACATATTACAAATTCTAGCAACTCAACTAATTTAAAATTATCTTTTGCTCTCTAATTTGAAATCAAATCTTGTTCCTCCTAATTTGAATTAAAAACCATAACTAATAATAATCATTTTTCTAGATTAAGAATGAATATGGATGTCTTATTCGTCGGTCTAGAGAGACATTGGCGAATTCGATGAAGACTGAAGTTCCATAGATAATGTGCCAACAAAACGACGTTTCATAACATTAGGAAGTATCGAAGAATGGACACTTTCAAAAACTTGAAAATCGATTGGAAAACTACCCTTCAAAATCAAGTCCAAAAAATACTTGATATTCCACCTTTTTATACATTGTATCGAGTAGCTTGTGAATGTTTTACATTTTCTAAGTTGTTGGATTTTTGTTGCAAGTGGGTGAAAGAAAGTGACCCTTAGAATTTGAAGATATTGATAAAGAGTTTGAATATTTATGAATTTAATATCAGAAAATTAAATTTGTAACTATTAATTAATATATACGTTGTGAATGTTATTTTATATATTTTTTTATCAATTATTTTTTTATTTTTTTTGATCATTTGGTTTCTTCGTTTTGTTAAACTTGAAGTTATTTCTTAAATGTGGAGTTGTTTTTATATTTGTGTGTTAAAATTACATATGTGAAAAAATTAATTCTTGTGTGAGAGGTTACATATTTGTGCAACTACATAGGTGTTGTTTTTTCACTTGAGATATCAAACAATATCAAAATTGGATTTTCTTCTCTTCTCACAAAAATTCTCTCTTTTAGTTATTCATGTTTATGTTGAGAGCAACTGTCTAAAAGTTCTTCCAAATTCGAGGGGTTTGAAGTTGTTGTTCTACCAGAGTTAACCTAAGTATAGTCCTGCTGAGATAATCGTTGTATTCTGCTAGCAATTTGTATAGAGCGAATAATTGTCTTCAGGTCAGAGCTATTTAAACGTGTCTCTCGACTATATTTCATTGAGTTTTGGTGTTCATTAAGTTATCGGGATTTGTAATTGTGTTGTAGCCAGCTATTTGACCGTTTTATTTATTTTACATATACAGAGTATATTCACCCAACAATTTTTAGCTACTTAAAAATTCAGAAACGTCTATTTATTCATTACTATGCAATTGAAATAGACCAATACAATAAAAATGACTTAGTAATTTTTATGGTAGAATTATACTTAGGTTGAAACGGTATGTTTATATTGCCTTTTCCATTCTGTTATAAGAGTGAGAATGTTTGGCAAATTAAAAATTTGATTTTAGAAAAGTTTAAAGTCATTTTAAATTGATTTTTAAGTTACTGATATATTTTGAAAAATCAATTATATTTAAATCATTTTTTTCAAAATTACTAATTCTACCATCACTTCTAAACATCGAAAAATTTCTTCACCACCAACTTTGAAAAATTCTGTGTCGATAAGAAATTAAAAGATGAAAATTATTTTAAATGGCTATATTTATTATTAACCCTTAAAACATTTCATACTAAACCAATTAAAAATAAAATTTCTTTTACTTTAATCATTAGAATTTCTGTTTCTTGAGATGACTGTGTTTGCACGACGAAGGGTTGAGCAGACTAAATGGCTAAATGCTCCGCCCGCTGAGTCGCCGGCTTTGAAATGGGTGTGACCGGAGAAACTTGGCGCCGCCGTCGTCTCCGATGAACGGACTTTCTTTTGCCAACCGGAATTGTTGATCAGAAAGATGCTGCTTAATGACGATCTCCGGTACATGGCTAGGTAATTTTACTGTGTATTTTTTCAGAATTAATTTTTTTGTTATATTAAATATACCATATATAACTTTGATTTTTACATATATAAACACATTTTATCGTTTTTATTTTTGCTAAAGTAACAGTTTAATGYCTAAACTTTATAACAATGCGATCTATAATAGTATCTATTGTAAAAAAATATCATCAAAATTAAGTGTCTAACTTTTATCGTATAACAATTTAATTTTTGTAATTTATAAATACATTTACTCCCTTATCAATTTATTGATTTATATATATAAGAATCTTAAAAATATATATATATACAATAGGACTAAATTAAATTGATTTATATATATATATATATATAATAGGACTAAATTGTTACACACTTTAAACCATAATTGTTATACACTCAAATTTAGGGACTAAATTACTATCAATTTGAAAATACACATGGACTAAATCAATACAAATTAAAGTTAGATTAAATCGTTACTTAAAAGTTCAACGATGGAAAATACTTTTTAACCGATTAATTATTACGAAAGAGAAAAATAATTTTTACCACACTCTCTAATCTACTTTTTACATCAAATTATACCATTTTTACTTTATACTGTGTGTATATATATTTCTAAATGGACTAAAGAAACAAAAACTCATGTTACTTTACACAAAATTTATACATATTGAAAACTCAATATATTTCTAAATGGACTAAAAAAACAAAATCTCACAAATGAGATAATAAAAATGAAATGATCAAAATTCCATTTTTTTTTTAATACAAGAACCAAAATAGACGTTTCGAAAGTATTGAAACTAAAAGTATGAGAATCTAAAATGAACGTTTTAAGAGTACATATGCAAACTAAAACAAAAACAAATCAAAAGTCAAAAGTATCAAAATAATATTTAAACCGAGGAAGATTAACAAACAAACAAGTCCAAGTTCTCAATTGGCAAATTGTGGAGTTATCATCTATGTCATGGGGAGACAGATGAAGTTGAAATCTAGGATAGAATCTTATCTGATTACTATGCAACTGTTAGATAGTCAAGTAAACTAGTAAAATTTTGACATTTGATCTCTACAATTCACTTAAAATTTTTAGTACAACCTACTAGTACTCATCTCTATTAAATCTAAGAAGAAAAGGAATCGACCAATAAATATACATCACATTAAAGTATGTTGTCGGGTGAGCAATGTTCTTATTCTAGCTAAGATTAAAATTTTAGTGGGACCTATTTGTCTATTTAATTCATCAAAAATATAATATAAACAAACCAATAAAAATATACTACATCAGCCCAATTCGAACAAAACCAATTGGTCAAGACATTATAACCGGAACGCGAAGGTGACATGATTTGTAAATCTGTAAATCGTAACTTGGTTTGCAATTGCATGATCATTAATTTTCATGGCTTCCAAAACCCCACCTCTTCACTTCAAACAATTTCACCACCAAGAGGTGTAATTTGCAATTTTTGAACAACATTGAACTTGGAATTATAACAACTTTATATAATAGTTTTCATACCCCTAAGGCCTGAATTTCCTTTTTTACAAACGGTAACTAAATGCATAAAGATTACAAATTTTACACATTTTCTCTCTCGAATAATTGAAGAATTCGATGGCCGAGCTAAAAAAATATTGGGGTCCATCGATGGAGTAGCAGTAATTTTTATAGACACCAGAGGGAGGGGAAAAATCAAGACCAAAAAAATGGGCAAAGTTCTGAAACTAAAAACCGTCAGAACTCTGTTGTTTTAGAAGTTCCAGAGGAATGAATCTTGATGTGTGGTGGCGTCAAAATTTTCATCTCCATAATCAAACGAAGGAGCTGAAGTATTGAACAGTTCGTTGAAAAACGGGTTGTACTCCGGAAACAACCCGAAATCCGACCCGTAATTTTCGGATCCCATGGCGGTGTGAAGATCCAAAAACGACGATCTTTCATCACACTCGATCTGGGCGGTGGTCCCCGACGCCGACGCCGAATCCTCCGACGAGGGCTGCGGCTCGGAGTTGGCGAACTCGGCGGCGGCGGACTGAATCTCGGCCCGGGAGAGCAAGCTGGCGCCGGGTATATCCGGCGGGTTGTCGGGAAAATTAAACCGAGCAGAACGGCCACGTAGGCAAAAAAGCGCGGCGTCGAAGGCACGCGCCGCCTTCTCGGCGGAATCGTACGACCCCAGCCAGATCCGCTCGCGGCTGTTGGGAAGCCGGATTTCGGAAACCCACTTCCCCCACTTCCGCCGCCGCACTCCCTTGTACCGGGAATCGGCGGTGGCGGCGGCGGCGGCGGATTTTGAAGGGGAAGAGGGCTTCGTCATGTTGTTCTTTTAAAAAAATATAATTAAAAATCCGGTGGAGTTGAGGTAATTTTTAAGATTAAGCGGCGGCAGTGGGGAGTGGAGTTGTGGAATTTTGATTGTGGATGGCGAAGTGAATTATAAAATTTTTGCGGCTGCGTGAGGGTATAAATACGGAGGAGATTGGGGGATTTTTGACTGGACCACGGAGGCGCGTTGAAAAGGGACCAAAAAAGCGCCAGGGTGAGGAACGAGGAACCAGGCGAGGAAAGGGGAACGCGTGGGGACACGTGGCGAGTAGAAATTCTGATGACGCGGGGTCATGGTTTGGTATTCCACGATTCTGATTTATATTACTATTATCACGTGTCCCAAAATCGCTTATTTCTAAGCTTTCTGGAATTTTACTCGTGCTTTAAATCGTTTAGATGAAAATTTAAAGAGGACAACTTGGGCAACCATTAAATTTCACCTACAAACTTTCTAAATTTATTTTGAACTAATAATTTTAACTATTCATTATACTTTTGTGTACCTTAAACAAGTTATATATATCTCCGACCAGTGAAAGATAGAAGTGTTCGATAACATTATTTGAATTATATTTCTTATTTCAATTATAATTTGAGATTACGGTAGTTTAAATAGATTATTAGTTTTATATGTAAAGTAATTAAATTTAACGAAATCTTATTTGTTATTCTTTTTTTTCTCTACTTTCCTAAAATTATCATGGTATTAGAGCCTCCAAAAATTAACCGTGAATATGTAAGACTCTATGACGTAATATAACTGTCTTAGAAATTCAATCAAAATATGTTAGAAAACATTGTTTCTCAAAATGTTTTATTTTAGTTTATTTACACAAATGAATAATTGTTTCTTGAAAATAACGAAAGTGTATATATATATATTTTTTTTGTTCCAATATTTCCCCTTCCACAGAGCTTGCAATCTTTACTCACTACTTTAAGAATAATTTCTCATTCAAACAAGAAGTAACAAAATATTGCATTCTAACTTTTTACCTATATAAGACCTAATTGATAATGTTTTTGTGTTTACTCCTTATTATTATTAATAATAATAATAATAATAATAATAATAATAAAAAAGAATAGTGAAACATCAACCCCATAGATTTAAGAATAATAAAACCATATTTTTATTAATGCTTTTAACACAAATTGGAAAAAAAAAACAATAAATTTATTTTTGTTATTTCCAAAATTTCTGTAGACAATTTTTTCGCTATGATCTCTTAAAAAACATGCTTCTTTCTTTTTTTTAAGTACAATATATGAGATGTAGGTTCAAACCTCAAGTAGTTGTACTGTACTTGAGAAGTTAACAATTAAACCGCTAACAATTAAATAACTGTTTAATTAAGAATAACTGTTTAATTAAAAATTCACCAGCATATCGAAAATTTAATATTTTAAACCAATTTAATCACATGCCTAATTATGATGCGATTAATTTATTAATTAAATTAACTTTTGGAAACTATATATTATAATGAACAAATATTGTCCAATGAAGGCACAAGGAAGATGGATTTGTGTCTCCTCTCGTCTTATCAGCTTCAAATGGAACAGAGTGGATTGTCTTCCCTCGACCCAAAAAGTCAACATCCCATCATAAATTTTGACCAACATCAACTAAAATTTTCAATCAAAATTTTCATGTAGATTTTTTATTTTTTTGAAAAGGGACGTAGAGTTACCCTAGTATTTAAACCTTATTTTAGATCGTTTGTCACAGTTAAAAATACTTTCTACACAAATATAAGTAACATGATCAAAATATTTAAGCTTAAAATGTTTGAACTCGTGCCCCCAAGATCTCAAAAGTAATTTGGAATTAAAGAACAATGTTTAATGTGTAATAAAATATTTTAATAGATTTAAAATTAAATTACAAGTTTAATATTTGAATTTTGAGAGTTGTATCTAATAAGTCCGGGTATTTCCAAAACCTACCCAATTTTGATGCCGTAAATGAGATATGTTCGCTTTTTAAAGAACTTGTTGTTTTAAACATTTTCTTTACTACACCTTATAGAGTAAACAAACTACTTCACTTCACTGCCATTAGTTATTTTTAAGTAAAGTTGATGCTTTCATTCTTTCCTTTTCTCATTCGTCTTCCTCCCTTAACTCACTCCAGGTTCTTCCTTTCCTCGCTCGCTCTCTCCCTCCAGCAATGTGGATGTGAAACGAAGACTCCCGCTCCTCACTGATGGTCTCTTCTCTTATATCTCACCGAGTTTAGATATCAAAAAATAGTGAAGGCAGACAATGAAACGTAAATAATAAAGACGAAGGATACAAAGAAAATGAATAAGATGAAGAATAAAAGTAACCCAAAAAAGAAAAATTATACGTCACTCTGTAGGAAAAAATAAACGAGAGACGGAAAGGTAATTCCACGGAATTCTCAACAAAAGGTCATAATAATAAATTTTTCAAAAGACGGTCATATCCTATTTACACGCCCAAATTAAGGTCATTTAACACAATTAGCTCTAGTATATGCTTGTATTTTAAAAAATGTCTCAAGCTTTGAATGTTGCTTTTGTTAAACAAGTTGATGAACTCTTAATTTGGAATCTAATAAGCAAGAATTTGACAAGAAAATTTGAAGATGGAGTAAAGTAAAAACTTTTCAAGTTAATTAATAAACTAATCTACAGTAAATAAAAAGTACGTACACTCTAAAAATGCCTTTCCACCCAGATAAAAGAAACAGTGGGTCGGGCTGCGGCGGCGCGTCACTTGCCGGCACGGCGGCACCTGAATTTTGTTATGCGTCGCTATAATTATTAAAGAAAGAAAAAAAAGGGAGGACACGTAGGAAATTTGGGACCGGGAAATTATTAATCAGTTGCGCATCGCATTTTATAGACACGTGATTTTTGTGCTCCCCCCTCCCGAGATTTTTGCCTCATTGATGACGTCATCCGGTATTAGGGTTAGGTAAAAGTAACTTCCTTGCTATTCTTGGAGTTTGGCCTCACTTTTAAAATTTAGGAAAAATACTTTGATCCACGAGTTTTTAGCCCTAAAATTTTAAAATGGATATTTTGGTCTTGTTTGGAGTAAGTGATTATTTGATTTTGAACTCTCAAAATGGACAATTTTTTGTCCTGAATTGGAATGAGATTGTCCGTCCCTTCGTACCCTGAATATCTCCAGGATGGTATGATATTATCCGCTTTAGGCATAACCCTCACGACTTTGCTTTTGGTTCCACCCAAAAAACTCACACGAGATAATTGTCCTCTCTTATATACCAATGATCATTTCCTTTCCTAGCCAATGTAAGACTTTGTTTGCAATCACCTTACAAACCCAACATGTCCCTCCAAATAGAAATGAAAAAATTGAGTGGATCCCACAATTAGATTCATATTTCTACAAAGCATAGAAGAGAATGAAAAAATTGATTCTCATTCATTCATTGTCATTCCTTTAAATAAACATGGACTCCTAAATGGTCATTGAGCTTCTATTACTTTTAGTCGACTAATGTCAAAATGACGTGACACTTTAATTGTTGTATTTTGTTCATTTGACAAAATATGTTAATTTAATATTTTTAGTACACTTCTCTCCTTCATTTTACATTTTCTTCCCTCTCCTCTGGTGAAGCTCACCACGAATGCCAACCACTGTCTCATTCCTCGCTCTCCCTCGTTCCAAATCTTTCTAAATCAGGTAACGAGGCTTTATTGAGAGATGGAGAAGAGGAGGAATAAGAGAGAAAAAAATCTCTTGAAATTTATGATTAGGTTAAAATACCATTTTGGTCCTAACTTTTAATCTAGTCCATTTTAGTCCTTATAGTTTAAAAATATTCATTTTGGTCCCTATATTTTTAACTTTAGTTCAGTTTAGTCCGTAATACTTTGGAAATGTTCATTTTGGTCATTGTACTTTTAAAAAGTTTTCATTTTAATCCCTCTTTGCAATGTTTTAACACAAATTTTACACATGATAGAAACTTTTTACTATAAAGTAACGTTCACAATTTAAGAAATATATTGACTGTAATGTGGTGTTGAAATTGTGATAGTAAAAATAAGATTTAAAATAAAATAAGGGACTAAAATAGTCACTTTTAAAAAGTATAGAGACCAAAGTGAACATTTTCAAAGTATAAGAAATGAATCAAAGTTGAAAATACAGAAATCAAAACCGACGTTTTAAAAATATAAGGATTGAAACCATGGTCCACTTTTTCTTTTGTCGCTTTTTGGTTGATCTATCTTGCCTCCACTCAACTGTACGAGAAAAAGGAAGTTTCAACTAATCTTAATCCTTAATGTTTGTTGAATTTATGATTTTTATTATATAAAATATTTGTGATAAATGGATGTTTTTTTTTCTATCGTTTATAGTCTTATGTACCACTCATGGGTAATATATTTCTTTTATAACAGTGGAAGGTTCGAATTTACAAGTTCTTGATCGTAGATAAGTATCTTAATCCATTTAGTAATATTCTGGTGGTTAGTCATTGTCTCGAAGAAAAAAAACAGAAAAGATAGGAAAAATTCACGAGCATTCTTTTTCTGCTTTTTTCTCAATGATAAAACATTTATATATATATATATATATATATATATATATAAATTAGTAGGAGATGAAGCATTGGGTGCCTTAAGTGGGTTATCTTCGTGTTGGTATTTTTCAAAAATATGTTGTATCATCCATTTCTTAATAATTATTTATATAATTATAGTAATCGAACGGTAGCCAAAGTGAACATAGCTCAACGACATTTTTTACATATATCTCCAACTAAGAAGTTGTAGGTTCAATTACCTTGTATTAAAAAAAATAGTAATACAACGGTAAATTGATAATGATCGAGAGAATATTTTAAATCAATTTCATAATTGATCCAGACAATTACCTTTTAAAGGTAGAAGGTTTCCTTCTCTTGAATGTACTAAAAAATTAAAAATTTATTTCCTGATTTTAATGAGATATAATTTACCTATAAGAAAAAATGTTAATAATCTATTAGCTTCACTTTGGTCCCTAGAATATTAAAATTTTAATTTAAGTTGTCTATGCTTAGTTTCAATTTGATCCGTGACTTTAAAAATTTCAATTTAATCCTCATTGTTAAAACCTCACAAAATTAAGCCCTTACTTTTTTTCCCACAATTTTCAACTATTTTCTATTCGGTTTTAAATCTTAACATAGTCAATTAAAGAGATAATATAAATTCGTTGTCAATGTTACATAAAACTTATCACGTATTCAATAATGATAACAACTTATAGTGATTTAGACGATTAGTGTGATATTTGACCAAACTATACGGACTAAATTAAGACTTCTAAAACTATAAAAATCAAATTCAAAACCCATCTAAATTCATGGAGACTCAATTTAATATTTCGAGAGCAGCACAGGAACAAATTAATAATTTTTTTTTAGATAATTGATCATTTCATTGTTTTTCGAAATTTTTAGAGAATATAAGAAAGCTTTCATCCATTATTTGACTTAATTTCTTCTCTAAATTCAAATATCTCATAGCTTGTCAACATAGAGCACGATTCAAGACACTATTTGTCCCATCAACCTTTTTGTTCAACTAAAATATATAGTAAACTTTTTGCATTTATTGATACGAATTATGAAGGATAAATTAAAAAAAGTTAAAAATATACCAAGCATGCATAACTAACCGTAATTAATATATATTTCCAACAAAAAAGTTGTGAGTTCGATCTCCATCCTTACATGTTGTTCACATGAGATTTTCAGAGAAATTTAATTCGTGGCCTCTTGGCGGCTTGTTGATCTCGACCGACACTCTTGACAGCTTGTTGATCTTGGTCATTGATGATGATCTTGATTAGAGGATTTTAATATTAGATGTGAAGAGGATTTTGATCACATGCAAGATGAATGAATGAACCTCTATTTATTTAGAGTTAATATCTTTAGATGGCTGTTTTAGAAATTATTTACATAAATGTCTAAATTTTTATAATTTTACACTTTTAGATTTCTGCGATTAGGATTTTAGTTTAATTCCGAATTTACCCTACTTATTGCATTTTCATTTATTATAGTTTTTTGCTTTTTTTAAAATATAAAATAGTTATTTCCATAAATTAATATTACACCCATTTAATTAAGGTGAGTCTAATATTAATTGTCAATTCAAATCTCTTAATTCACTCATTCAAATCCTTCAGAAATATTGATTTTCTTTATTTACCAATATTATTAATTAAAAAATATCCAAATCTCATCATCCCTATTTCTTCTGATTTCTGCTACATAAAACTAGAGATATAAATGATACATAAAACAATAGAACCAGAGATATAATATACTTGTATATCGTTCTGATTTCTCTGGTTCTCTGGTTCTATTTCCGTAGGATACATATTATATCTCTAGTTTTATGTATTGTTTTATTTCTTCCGATTTCTCGATGTTGTTCTATTTATGTAGGATATATATTATATCTCTAGTTAAATGATACATAAAACAATAGAACTAGAGATATAATATACGATATTAAAACTAGAGATATAATATATATCCTACGGAAATAGAACCAGAGAACCAAAGAAATCATAACCATATACTCGTATATGCGAACCAATTTAAACAATAGAGCCAGAGAGCAAGAGATGAACCTCGATTCTGTCCAAAATTGAAACCTAAATATAGCATAAACTATGGTATAATGGGAACAGACAGACTGAAATGCTCATTCGACGGAGGCCGGAGATGAAATTAGATGTTATTGGAAGGAACAGCGACGATGTTACCATATGAGATACGACGGAGGACGACGTTGAAATGCTCTGCAAACAAAGGAGAAGAAGCCACGGGAGACAGCGACGACGACAGAGAGATGCTGCAGAGGAGACGAAGCCCAACAGTCGGAGCGAAAGAAAATCGAGGGAGAAAGAAGGAGGTTACGAAATTTTAGGGGTTTTAGGATTTTCAATTTTGGAAAGTTGAATTAACATCATTTTAGGAATTTAATATATTTTAATAATGATTTACCAATTTTATATTTTATTAATGATTTAATATTTAGATAGATATATTAGTAATCTTCATTATGGGTACCATCTAATTTGAGAATTATTTTAGACAAAAGTGTAATTTGTATACGTTTCCATCCTTTTATGTAATTAAGACTTCTAAATAGATCATCTCTATGTACTAATCCCATTTATTTATAGGGTCTTTCATGGGTTTTAGGTGGGCTTTAACCCATCTGATTTTAAGTCTAATTGACATGTGATACAATCCTAGTTTAGGTCAACAAATAGACGTGACGAATTTTGATTAGAACAATTTATGCCATACGTGAAGCAATCTTATTAGACCAAATTATGTCATCATATGGTCATAACATAATTTGTGGTTCAATTCAAATGTCCAAAAATAACATATGACATTATTTAATTGACTAATCTTTTAATTTAAAAATACTTGTCAAATTTTAATTGGCCGCAATTTAATGACTTAGTTTTGTCATTATTAGGTGGCAATTTGTGATTTGTCGAAATTTTTCGGTCAACAAAGACTAAATTTGTTTATGGTGGTTTTTGATCTAGTTTGGGAACTAGTAAGATGGGATATGATCGAGTTTGGAAACAAGCTTGGTGAGGAAGACCTACACAAATGAAGTAAACATTGTTCAAGTCAGTAAGAGTACGATCTTAGGTTTTAAAATTGAGCTTAGATTGCTTACTTTGAGTCAGAATGATGCTTTTATTTATAGGGTGAGATCCGACCGTTCGATTGTACTGTCGAGAAGTCTATTGCACAAAGGTTAGTTTTTCGAGTATCAAAGGTTAGCGTTTCCTTCGATCGGGTGGAGCTTTTCATAATTTATTGATTACCTTATGGTCAGGTTTCAAAGTCAGTCACACGTGTCTATGAGCTTCTACCGATCTTTCCTAGTTCTCCAAATGGCAAGTTCATTTTTACCCCTCAAACGAAATTGAAAAACATAACCAAACAATTGGGATTAAAACATATATCTAAATTTTTTAAGAGCATCGACCTCATTAACTAATAAAGTTATTTATAAAAGTACGTGTGAATTTATTGGTTTCAATTTTATCTTTTAATGTTTCGACGCTTTAATTTTACCCTCAATCTTTTTTTAGTTCATCGGTTGGGATGGAGATTTAAGCTTCTAACATTGCAGAAGGTTTGTTTTATGCCTTACAATTTAAGCTAGGTTGTAATAGGTGTTACAATAAATTGTTTTCTCTCTAAATAAAGTTACAAGGAAACCTTTCATTAGCCATTTCTATTATAATTAAAATTAAAAAACGTTAGGGGTGAAGAACCAAAGAAACTATATATAAATTCCATATGGTATTTGAACGAAATTTGCTAATAGATTTGTCTGCTGAAAAAATTAAAAAATTAAGAATTGAATTATGATAATGGATAAAATTGAAAAAAAAATTTAGAACAAATGTTGAAACTAATTTTATACATTTTCTTTTTATGGCAAACCAATACCAACTAAAAAAACTATTAATAAATAATATTGTAGGTTAGTATTATTATTTTGGTCTAAATATTATTTTAGTGTGAGTATTTTCAAAGTCTCTGTATCTTAAACTTTTGTTTATTTTAGTTTATGTTGATGCAATTTTGAGAAGCTGGTCAGGTTGAGAGTTGGTGAATCGGATCGACCGTCAAATGATCAAGGAGAGTTTAGGTCTAGCTAGGAGAGGTCGTGACTCGATGGGTTGTGAACAAGAGAAGGACGAGATTTTATTGTTTGGAAGACCGAGATAGTTGATATTCTTCACGAGATCTTGGTTTTGAAAGTTGAGGCGAAAATGACCTGCAAAAAGAGAAGGTGAGTGGATGCCGTACCAGCCTATCACACTTTGATGCTTAAATCGAGTTTAAGAGCAGAGAAATAAAGAGTTGTTTGAAAGGAAATGACGTACCTAGAAAGGTCACGAGTCCTTTCTATTTATAGAAAATGTGGTAGTGTGAACGCATGGCGCCAGCATACTTGTGGTTTGCGCTATAACCTGCACTATAACATGACCTATTGAGGCCAACCTATAGGGCGAGCTATAACCGACCCATAATGATAGCTAAAGTGGGGCTAACATATAAGCCGCTCAATATGGCGTGGATGTGGTTGCACACTTATAAGCCGCCCAATATAGGGCAATGGTGGTTGCGTGCATATATGTCGTCCAATATGGCGGGGAGGTGTGTGCAAAAGCCGTCTAATATGGGACGAAGGTGGTTGTGCACCTATAAGTCGTCCAATATGACACGGAGGTGTCTGCACACCTATAAGCCGCTCAACATGGGGTGAAGGTTTATGCACACCTCTAAGCTGTCCCATATGGAATTTTATCTCGACTGGGCTTGTTTTAGCTTGTTCCTCTCGCCCACGCTCGGAATGGATCTTACTTGGGCTCGTGTTTGCTTGGTAAATTCACCCTCAATAGTTTATGTATCTCTGAAACATTTGTTTTGGTTTTTGTATTTTAAAAAGGTGACTATTTTCTATCCCTATTTGTAAAATTTTAACACATACATAATGTAAATTATATAAATTTATTGCTACATCTTAAGAAATTTGGTGAATTGTCATAGAAATGAGATAAAAATAGAAATAAATGAATCAAAATGGTCGCTCAAAATTACAATAACCAAATTGAATATTTTGAAAGTAAGAAAGTAAAATTAGCCAAAGTTTGAAATTAGAATAATTAATATAGATATTTTAAAAGTACACCAATAAAGATAAAACCAAAATTAGAAGTAACAAAATTTTATTTAAATCTATTTTTTTAAGTAATAATACAGGTTATGTAATCGAATATTGCAATTAGTAATATTAAGGGTATTTATTTGTCCACATTATCCAACCAATTTCTAGAAGGGTCTAATTTCTCCGATAAAACCCATTTCCACTGCTGGAGCTGCCTTCAAGTTGCTAGGGTTTATCTTCTTCGTTCTTCCATAATCTTCTATACCGTTGGAGCCGCTTCTTCGAAACCCAATCTTTATCCTTACACAAGGTACTCGCCCCTCTCTGCTTTCCATCTCTATAACATGTTTCTTCCTGTTTTTCGGCATAATTTTACCTCCGTGCTCAAATGTTGTGGCCAATTTAGAATTGTAGAGATTCAATTTTGTTGACTTAGATTCTTTTGAAATTGAGCCCAACTTTTCTTATGCGCGGGATTGCTATCTAATCTTCTCTGTATATGTTTTCTGGATTAACTTTTTGAGGATAGGACGTGAAATGGCGGCAGCTCAGCTCACCGGGTCTTTAATTTCCGCGAGAAACTTGCCATCTTTCAATGGGCTTCGACCTTCTGCGGTGAAATTCTCTCCTTCTGTTGGGCACTTGAGAGTGGGGTGTCTGGCCAACAGATCTTACACTGGCTTGGTTGTCAGAGCTGCTACTGTGGTTGCTCCAAAGGTTTCACACCACTCATTCCTCTATTCACTGTCATTTTGTCTTGTGCCTTTCTTTTTCAGTTTCAGATGAAGCTATGCGAAATTAGTTGCAATACTTCACTCAATTTTAGGTTGTTGTTGATAAGTTCTTTTCTGAGTTGTATGGCTGTGGAGATATGCTTCGATAGTATTTTTCAGGCCAATAATTTTAGTTTCTTCCTTTTTTTCCTTGGGTTTCTCTTAGTTTCTGGTTATGTTATTTTGACGTAATATAATTGAACTGCATTCCCTTATTCCTGGTTCCATGTATCTAACTGCTGTCTCTTGCCATTTTATAGTCTTTTTGGTGGTCAAGTTTCTGATTTGTTGATATTACGTTTTCCACAGTCCAGTATAGTTACCTAATTATGCTCATAACTGCAAGTAGTATGCATCTGTTATAATGTATAAGTTTTCTTCCAACTACCTGTGTTCAACTACCGTGTGCATCTACTAGTCAGTCTTGATTTCTGAAACCAGTTTTGAGTTTATAACCAAATTGCTACGTGTTTCTGGTGGTGTGCATCTCATTTTTTGAACCCACGTATACAAAATTTAATTTGGTGTGTGAATTGCAATGTTTCACTTTCAGTACACTTCAATCAAGCCATTGGGCGATAGAGTGTTGGTGAAGATAAAGGAAGCTGAAGAGAAGACTGATGGAGGCATTCTACTTCCAACGACAGCCCAGACAAAACCCCAAGGAGGAGAGGTTGTTGCAGTTGGAGAAGGCAAGTCGATTGGAAATATCAAAGTGGAAGCTAGTGTAAAGGTATGCATTTATGCATGTTTGGAGATACTTCTAATCTTTTGATGCTGTTAATTCAATCAATGCTTTTTTGATTTGATAGACTGGTGCTCAAGTAGTGTACTCCAAGTACGCTGGCACTGAGTTGGAGTTCAATGGTTCGAAGCATCTTATTTTGAAGGAAGATGACATAGTTGGTATTCTAGAAACAGATGACGCAAAAGATCTTCAGCCCCTCAACGACAGGGTCTTGATCAAGGTTTGTCTCTAATGATAACTACTTTGCTGTTTTTTTTGGAGCAACCCTTGAGAGTAAATAGTCAGATTCTTCCAATATGCATGCTTGAAAATACTGGCGGTGGTCTATCTAAAAATCTTTGTGATTTATATTTTGCAGTGGATAAGAGTGGATATAATGCCATTGATATATGGTTTTGCATTTGCAATTGTTTATCATCTTTTTCTCTAATATAAGTTGGAAAGAGTACTATATGATCTCGAGTATGAGATGTATGATATAATTAAAAGTAGCTATTGAATATAACATTCTTCTCCATCCACCTCAGATATGACTTCTTGACGACAGTAGAGTCTTTCTCCAGGGGCACCTAGAATAACATTCACTATTGTCTGCAAAGGAACATGAAACGTGACAATAATGTAATACTTGTTCTAAAATTTGATCACAGGTGGCTGTGGCTGAGGAAAAAACAGCAGGAGGTTTGTTGCTGACTGAGGCGACAAAAGAGAAACCTTCAATCGGAACGGTCAGTAAGCATGCAAAAGGCACACCCTCTGACTCATTAGAGATTCCTCTGCCGTATGATTGACATAACATTTGCTTTAACACAGGTGGTAGCAGTTGGCCCCGGTCATCTGGATGAGGAAGGCAAGAGGAAACCACTATCCGTTGCAGCGGGAAATAACGTGATGTACTCAAAGTACGCCGGGAACGAGTTCAAGAGCAAAGATGGGTCTGATTACATTGCATTGAGGGCTTCGGACGTCATCGCGGTGCTGTCTTAGTTGTAAACTTATATTTAGACTGATTGGTTTATGTAAAACAAAACCCGTGTCTTTAGTGGTGCTTCTTTGCTTAAAAAGGGGCAATTGAGATGGATTTTGACAGCCGTAGAGGGAGAGGGACTGAGAAATGCAACTGAGATGGAAATTTGGGTAATAACAGGGAATTTGTTTGTTAGATCAGTAAACTGTGACCAGCTTTTGGAATGTTGTGATGTGACATGAAATTATGAAACTTTGAATCTTCCATTGGTAATTCTCACACGGTGTTAGGGGAAGGAGGAAACAACCTCATGAGACTTGATGAGTTAAGGAGGCTTCAACACAGTGACCAAAATTGACTTTGGTATTTATGGGTGTCTAAATCACCATCTTCTACATGGAGACCAGAATGTGACTCTGCTTTTAACTTCTTGGTCCACCAAAACGAGTTATTTTTTATCTAACTGATACATTTTTCCAAATTCCTCTCCAAAAAGGACCGAAAAAAATGTTTTGACAATTTTATGTGGGGTGAATCTGGAAAAAATTTGAAAATATTATTAATTATTTTAAACTTATGGTAAATGTTTATTTGTTAATTTAAATATTTTTTATAAAATTTTTTTATTTTTATAATATTTTAAAAGTATTTTTGTTTTTTAATTAAGTTAAAAATGAATAATATTAATATTAATGATATTTTGTCTGAATAAGTTAAAAATAAAAAAATATTAATATTAATATTAGTCTCATTTAGGATGGAAAGTTGTTTGATATCATTAATTTAACTAAATTATTTCACAAAAATTTGTTTAGGATTGAACGCGATGAAAATGAAAATTTAGGTAAAAATTCACAACGGGTAAATAATATATATTTTTTTTCCTTCCAAAATTTTACCGCAGGCAATCGCAATTCAGTGATCTGATTTTCGTGGTGAGTCGGCGACTGACGAGGCCCCCACTCGGCAATCGAACGATCTTTTCCGGCGCTCCGCAGGCAACATAGAAGCTGTGCCTTCGTGTTTCTTTTTCTGCGCCCGATCACATAATTCTCCATTTTCGCCATTAATTTCTCTCTCGTTTTATCCACTTTCAAGTTTGGGGTGCTTCCAGTTTCCTGTTCAAACAGGATTTGCTTATTATATTGGTAAATTTCATTTCCTGCTTCTACTCCTCCACTGTTCTCGTGTTGGTTCTTTATTGGTCTTTTTTTTAATATAATTATTTCTGGGTCTCTTCTTTTCTGATCACTTCGAGTCCCAGAAACTCAAATTACGTCTGTTAGAGTTCAATATTGCTAGTTTCATTGCGATTCTGATGAGCTTTCCACTCAAATTTTTTTGATTTGGAATATTTCTGAACCATTTACGTAAGGAATTGTGTTTCTTTCTCACGAAATAATTCTGGGGAGCTTGGATTGTTACTGCTCAATGTGAGGTGGTTCTGTTTTCATTTCTGTAAAGTGTTTTTTCTTAAATTTAGTCTCAGTTCAGTACGATTGTTTTATTACTTGTGAAGCTTTTGAAAAATATTCTGTCGGAGGAAAATGTAGAAACCCCAAAACTACGAGGTTTTCAAAGTTGTAGACTAGTGAGGAATTGTTTGATTAATTAGATTTGAAGAATTTTGTAATTAATTCGACTTTGATTTGTGTCAATCCAGATGGGTTCAGACGAGGAGGTTGTGGAAATTAGTAGTTTGGAAAGGGGCCTACTGTCGGAATGCAGTTCTGATTTGGAGCCTGAAACCGATGATGATCCCGTTTTGTATGCAGCTTCCTTCCAAGAAATGGAAGAGAACTTTGTTAAGTATTATACAGCACAATGGGTCCTTTATTCCTTGCTTTTGATTTTCGCATGGGGGATTGGGTTGTTGATGCTGCTTTATCTACCAGTGAGAAGATACATTCTGCGGAAAGATATTCAATCGAAAAAACTTTATCTTACACCAAATGCCATAATCTACAAGGTGACTCTTGGAGCTCAATCTCGCCACCATTTCATTATAGTCTAAACCGTCAATATGCTTCCATTATTCACTCTATCTCTGATCGCTAGAAGATGATCTATTGATTGCAGACAAAATCATTTACTCATTTGTATTGTACCTTAATGAGTTTTTTTTATCTTCATCGCAGGTTACAAGGCCTGTGACTTTTCCATGTTTTGGAGTATTGAAGAAAGAGAAGCACGTTTTATTGCCTTCAGTGGCAGWCATTATAGTTGAACAAGGTAAAGTGTTTTTCCAGAATGGTTACTGAATTTAAGCCTCGTATTGACCTTCTATTTCATCATGCAGCAAAATTATTGTTTGTAATAAGATTGAGAAGGAGAAGAAATAATTTATGCGTTTAATTTTCATAGGCAACATGGTTGTTGCTTTATGATTGCTTACAAGTATGTATTCTGTTACTTAGTTGTCAGAATTAACCATACTGGTTAATTTGTGCGAGTTTTACTTTGTGCCTCACCTTCTGACCATTTGAAATGGAAGTCGGTGGCCTTGATGCATAGGTACAACAAAAGAGGAGGACAAATGAAATAATTGGAGAAAAATAGTAAACTGGGTTGTAGATCCAACTACATGTTCTGAAATTACCAGACGAACTCCAGGGATATTTGTTATGGCCGATCATAGTTCCAATTTAGTACAGACTAGAGTCTGAAAGTGAGTATTAAGATACAACTTCTTGGTGGGCCACAATCCACAAGAAGGCTTTTGGAAACTACAGTTGTTTTTTTATTTCACTAGATTGGAAGAATGCGATTGTATAGTTCTCATTGGGGAGGGTTCTCTCTACCCTCCGCCTTTAGGTTGTTCTCGCCTTTTTGGGCTCTTTTGATTTGAATGCATTCTCTTTGTTTCTTATCAAAAAA